TATTTATTATTATATTATTACTAATTATTTTATTGTTTGGTTTACCATTTATTTATTATTTTTCATTGCTTGTTTTATCATTTTAAAATTTATGAATATTAGAGATTTTGGTGGGGGGACAAAGAACAACTTATTTACTAGGACGGTACCGCACTTGGAAATATTACATTTAGAAATATTATTATACATAATTTAGAAGAGATTTAATCCAGCAATCCCATAAAATATTAACCAACACAGAAATTGCATGAGCCATCAAAATGTCTTAATCGTATTGCCTTATGGCCAGAAGTATATGTTGTTGGTCATAAATTGTCGGAAAATATATTAATTTCCAGGTCTAAATACTAACTACAAATGGTAATGCATGATTTGGAATGGTGAGTAGGTTATTTGTTGTAATTATGACAATGATGGTGATAAAATTTATAAAATATATTTATTTATTTAAATAACAAAATAGGGATGATAATGGAATGAGAGGCACAGATTTTGAGACCGGACCAACATAACGCTAATTAACTAATTATCTTTTCTAATCTATCTCTACATCAGAGAAAATACTCATTCCTTGGAACTAACCAGCCGGTAAGAATTTATGAAAATAAATCTTTCAGATATTATTATTATTGACAAGGAATGGAAAGAAAGAAAATAGGAGAAGTCTATCTGTGATGGAAGATAAATTTTCACTTGTATGTCTTTTGTTATATAAACTTGCTGTATTAAATCTTTGGATGATATTTTATTTATTATAATGTCACCAATCAAAGGTGCAAGAGTTATTTAAGCACACACGTATATATCTCTCTTTAGAGGATGCACTAAACAGGAGGTTTGATAATATTCAATTACTACAACAGTCATCAATGCATATATATATCTTTAATTTAGTTGCTAAAATTTTTCTTTTTAAAAAAAAAGGTGATCGATAACAAATAAAATTGATAGCAATCAGTTACATGATAAAATCCGAATCAGAGCCTTGTTTTTTATTTATTAAAAAATAATACAAAAAAATTCATAAAAACTGGAGTTTTATGTTCATTAGAATATTCATACCTTTTAACATAATCATAACCTGTTGTTACCCACACAGATGCTTTAAGATTTTCCATTTGGCATATAGTACAAAAGCATTAGTTTTTGATTTTCAACAACTTCAAAATTTTGGGTTTCTTTTTATGTCATTCAGAATTATTATTACTTATCTTTTTTTCTTTTAATTCCACTTTGACAATAATATCATCAGATGGATCAGATGATGATGCTTCTTAATTTACTTGTTAGAAATATTCTAAGGAATTAATTTGAAAATTTTTTTTGTTGCTTTGCAGTCTATTAATCTAAAAAAAAAATTTGTCTCGAAAGTTATGCTCAGAAGTGCACTCATTTTTCATATGTGCAAACCAAAATTTTAATGTGCACATTTTGCACATGGATTTTATATATTGTAACCAATACAAGCAGAGCTAGACAATTCTGATGATGGTTGTTTTATCTGAGAGATTAATAATTATTATAAACGACTTGAATTCAACATGCTTTTGAGAATAACTTTTCTTA